GAAGCAACGGTGCTAACCACCGAGCCACCTTGCAGCCCTGCAACAACTCATGAATGCGCAAAAATATGAAACTATTTAATATTTACTGTGCAACCAAAGAAAAAAAAAAAAAAACAATTGAAAAAAAACCAGACACCCAAGTGTGAAAGAAGGGAAAACTAAGGGGGAAGCTGAGGAAGGCAGCAAACCTGATTCAGAGGCGCTGCAATCAGAAGTGCTAGTTTGACAACTACTACTGCTGGTGCTGCTGGTGCTGCAGCTGCCAGAGCTGGAGGATGAGCTGCTGCTGCTGCTGCTGCTGCTGCTGCTATTGCTGAGATGTGACAGGCTGACGTCAGAAGAGGCCATGACTGTATTCAAAAAAAAAAAAGATTGTAATTTTACACAGTGCCTAATATTTGGAAGTACACTTGTGACAACTACACTGTTAATCAAATTCACTTCTTACCAAATGGCTTTTTTTTCTTAATTGAGTGCTGTTCTTTGCTGACAGTGGGAGATTTCCCATCATCCTTTAGCTTCTCAGTCAGCTTTCCTCCTGTGGGCTCCAGTTTTGTTTCTGAGGAACAGAATATAATACCTGTGTATTCGTATTGTGAAGGGAACATTTAAACATTTTATACTGTGCTCCTTTTTAGCAAACAATGAAATTCTCATATGTACCAAGAATCTGTCTTTTAACTTTCAGCTCTAAATACTTCATCATTTCACCATGACTGTATCACGCCTGGTTTTAGCCCTGTTCGAGGCAAAAACATTGACCACACAGCAGCCAACACAGACGTGAATGAGTGTGTGAGACCAGAGGGCTCTACTACAAAGCAAGTTTGACATAGTCGTGCTTTCTTTGGGTAAGTTGGCTTGACAAAAACTAAAGCCCCAGTCAGAGATAGCAGGTATCACAAAGGTGAAGATTGATAAGGATTTGAAGGTGAGGGTGGGGTCCATGATGACACCGAGATTGCGAATTAAGGGGGAGGGGGTGATTTTTGTCTATTGGTTTCCAACTAAACTTCCACCATCTCTGATTGTCTCTAACATTTAAAATTTCCGCAGTGTGTCCATTGGACACATGCAACATCACGCAACATAGCAATTTCCCTGAGGTTTCCACCAAGGGGATCAATAAAGTTCTATTCTATTCTATACAAAAACTTTGGATTTTCCTATTGTTGTTGGAACATTGCCATCAAAAATAAAAGCAATCCACCGAATCCAGTTCCTCAGACACTAATAGTGCCTGAAGACGCTTGTGTTCACTTTTATAAAACAAACAAAACATAATTAAAATAGTTTTCGAATTGTACTTACTGCTTCTGTTGCATTTCCTCAGAGACGCTGCAACAAACCTCTGCAGGGCTCTGAATGTGGAAGGCTTGAGCATTTCAAAGTCAACGTCAATCTCCTCCAGAGTGGAATCTCGAAGACAAGATTCTCTGGTGTGAATGATGTTCACCAACTTGCCCAATTTGTCACCAGGCAGCTTGTGGATGTCCGCCTTCAACTGCTTCATCTCCTGGTACGTCACTGATGTCGATGAGACCTTCTCCTCATATTTTATGGGTTCTTCGCAGTTATATCTATCTCGATCGCCATTCCTAGACAGACATACCAAACACACAATATTATGCTAAGCACATACTGTTGCCTTATGAGTTGAACATGACTGAATATACATTATAAACCACATTCAACGATTAGGTGGGGCTCACTTACAGAGAGGAGCTCTTGCCGTTTGCAATTTTTTCTACAATAGATCTGTATTTCGAGGATTTGCGCTTCAGTCGTGCAATATCCTTCTCTTTCAATCTTTTTTCCTTTTTCAACTTCTCTTTCTTCTTTGGTTTCAACAGAGGCTCTTGGCTAAGTCTCCTCAGCTGATCACTCATAGCTTTCAGCTGAAAAACCAGCGATTAGTTAGACGCACAGAAGTGATTAACTCCTCAAAATCCAGTGGAACTGTTACCGGCATGTATGATACCGACCCGCTCCTCTAGATTGGCCAGCTGCATGGCCACCTCCTCTGATGGACTCTCTGCCTCTGAGGAGCTTTCGCTGTCAGAACTTTCTGAGGTTGACAGACTTCCAACTCTGCTTCCTGCTCCCTTGACGACCAGTGGATGAGACACTGAACAACCCTCTGATTCTTGGGGAACCTTCAGAAAACGTGCCTCAAAAACTTCCTATGGACAAAGACGCACATGTTTTGAAATATTAACAGCAGTTACAATATCAATCTTATTATTACTATTAGAAGAGGAAGAATAGTAATTTAGAAATAGCCCAGGTTAGTCGACTTGATAAGGGGCATGTCAACGCATTTTATTTTACCAGTAACAGTAATTCTTTGTTCAATAGAACTCTGTGTTTTCAGGTGTGTCAGCGGTAAAAATGCTTTACAGCACACAAATAAAACATTAGAACCTATCCCTATTGCAAACAAACAGCTGTGACCATATTTATTTACAGCATATAAACAGTGAAATCATTAACCAAGGCACAAAAAGTGTCACTATTTTAGCAGTATTTCACATGTACACAGCACCTTTGAGCATTTAAACTTCTACCTTTTGCTCACGGTACAGATACTGAGAGAGAGGCATTCCTTTTCAACACCACCTAACCAGTGGGATAAAGTGCATTTACTCAAGGACTGTAGATGTTGCTGAAACACTAATGATTCAATATTTATAATCTAATGCTGGCATATATAATACTATGCAATAAAACAGTCAGAGGGACTATCAGAGGTACTTTTACTTTAACACTTGCTGCTATTAATAGCACATTTCAAGTAGCATTTTCCACATAGGACTAAACTTAGACTGGAGTGTTTTTAAATTGCTGTATTGTCACCTGAACCTGTCCCTAACACAGGCAAGTAAAGCTACGACAGTGTATATTTTCATAGCAAGCATTTAAATGTGCCAAAATGAGATAACCATTAACTAATGTGCTGCTGCATTGCAAAGAAATATATATGTTGTACTTCCACCTTCAATGATTTCTGCGAATAAACAAAGCTTAATGTGCCATATGGAGGGATGCATCTCTTGCACGTGGGTGGTATGATATACAGGACATGGGTTCCAAGATACACTATAATGCCAAAAGTATTTGGACGTCTGCTTTTACACCTACATGAACTTTAATGACATCCAATTCTTAATCCTTGGCCCGCCCTTTGCAGCTGTAGCAGCCTCAACTCTTCTGGGAAAGCTTTCCACAAGGTTTAGGAGTGTGTTTATGGGGATTTTTGATCATTCTTCCAGAAGCGCATTTGTGAAGTCAGGCGCTAATGTTGGACGAGAAGGCCTGGCTCTCAGTCTCCGCTCCAATTCATCCCAAAGGTGTTCTATCGGGTTGAGGTCAGGACTCTGTGCGGGCCAGTCAAGTTCCTCCACACCAAACTCTCTCATCCGTGTCTTTATTGTCCTGTTCCAACATGACTGCACACCAGTCACGTTGCAACAGGAAGGGGCCATCCCCAAACTGTTCCCACAAAGAGCATGAAATTGTCCAAAAAAACTTGGTATGCTGAAACATTAAGAGTTCCTTTCACTGGAACTAAGGGACCAAGCCCAACCCCTAAGTACAGCTCCACATCATAATCCCTCCTTCACTAGACTTTACACTTGGCACAATGCAGTCAGGCAACCTCCTGGCAACAGCCAAACCCAGACTCGTCCATTGGACTGTCAGACAGAGAAGTGTGATTCGACACTCCAGAGAACACATCTCCACTGCTCTAGAGTCCACTGGCAGGATGCTTTATACCACTGCACCGGATGCTTTGTTTTGCACTTGGTGGGCTTGGATGCAGCTGCTCGGCACCACGCTTGAATTCACTGAGCTCCTGAGAGTGACCCATTCTTTCACAAATGTTTGTAGAAGTAGTCTGCATGCCTAGGTGCTTGGTTTTATACACCTGTGACCATGGAAGTGGTTGGAACGCCTGAATTCAATTATTTGGAGGGGTGTCCCAATACTTTTGTCCATATAGTGTATGTGGCAATGCGCAAATAAAGTCTGCTAATGAGCAAACATGGATGTAATCGATGTAAGTCTTCCCCTAAAGCCTTCTTTAACTTTCATAAGTTTAAGTAAATGCGCAATAAAAGAAACAACGAATATGGACAGAATTTTGTGTATAATATAATCCACATTGTAGCTTTAAATACTACAGTACTCATCAAACAAAACAATAAATAAATAAGAATTACCTGCAGTTTTCTTGCCATGTACACCACCTCGTTCAAAGGTGGGTTGTATTTGTAGCAGTTGGAGAACATCAGCCGGACATCAGCAGCAAATTCCTTTGCGTTTGCATACTCTCCATTATCCATTTTTTTCTGAGGAGATAACGCATTCTGTCAGGAAAACTGTTGTGACTTAAAAACTAAACCCAAATGCTCTGCATAACTGCATCATCATAGTCGTTTTACCCTGACGGTGCTCAGGTCCATAGGCTGATTTATGATGTCGTGGTAGTCATGCAAACCCAAAGTAACTGCATCAACTGGTGTGTAAAAGGGCCACGCGTATGCATAGTGCCTCTTTGAAAGCATCTCCTTCAGGATCTCTTTGCAGTGCTTCAGCTGCTCAGTCAGTCTGGCTCTCTTGCCCTCAAAGACAGGTAAGTCCATCTTAGGAGCTTTGATGGGCCTTCCACTGCCTCTCCGGGACAATAATGAACAGGGTGCTGAAGGCTCCTCAGTAGGTGAAACCTCACTGTTGGTCGTGTGGGCTGCTGGGTCTGTTTTCCTCTTCAAAGCCTTTTTAATCTGAATATTTAGAAAGCAGTGGGTCAAAGAAATAATATTTTAAAGTCAGGCTCAAGGCACAAACACAGGGAATGAAACTAGTAGTCTGACTTAATTTGTCCAAAATGCTGTTAATGTATCAAGTTTGTTAGATGGGATCATTTTCACTAATTTCATGCAACAGAGGAACTGTTTTTTGCAATGTCATATACAGTCACCGTTTGATGCCCTCAGTCAGACCATCATAAAATAAGCTCCTTCTACATCTGACTTAAGGCCCCTTAAGACATGCACTCTCCTCTGTTAATTAGACAGCATCTGAACGCATCAGCTTCATGTCTGAATGAGCCCCCTGGTCGCTTTTCTGCAAAGGCTCTGATAGCAATCTTGCGAGGTTAGACTTAATAACATTTACGTATAACTTTCAAAGTGGCATTTATGTACAGTACACTACGCAGATGACTGAAATGCTTACTGTTGCATCAGCTTGTGCAGAAAGCTGGAGGGGTGGGTTGAATGGAGGCACATCAGGAGGAATGACTGTCACTGTCTGCTGCAGAACAACTTCTGACATGAGGGAGCTCTGCTTCAATGCACCTGCACCAGGAGGTAAAGTGAATACATGCACAAGAACTGAGTACAATCTAAATGGCAAATAAACCAGTACAATAACTATCCAAAACACACAACTAAATATTTTTGCTCTGACATGGTATCGTTTCTTTCTTCATCATTTCTTGTTTTCAAATTATTTAGCAAAAATTAGATGACAGAAACACATACATATTTAAAAAAAAAAAAAAAAAAAATCAACAACAAAAAAGCATACACACATACACAAATATAAGGTACTGTTGTGCATTATACCTGCATTTGTCTTTTTCTTTTTGACTGATTCCTTTGTACTGACTGCTGTGACCAACTCTTCCTGAGGCATTTTTGACAATTTCTGCAAAAAAAGCTTTTCTAGGGTCTGCGCCATAAAGACAATGTCATGTCCAGACTGTGTGAAGAAAAGGGAAACATAAAAACAAAATTACAGCATTCAACGTAGCATGTACTCCCAGAGCCCGACAGATACTGGATTTTTTGGGGGGTCACAACTGATTTTAGGAAGGAAGAAATTCTGCTGTTGACATATCGGCTGATATTGTTTATATGTATTTTACAAACTAGTCAGCAACTTATCATGACAGCAATGCTTGACTCCTCGCCACCATTTGTTCAGCTGTGATATGTACTCTGCTGCATGTGCTGCAGACAGGGCTGACAATGTAAACAATGGAAGTGGAGCTGCTCTGTGGGACAAACTAGGTGATGACAGTATCTAAATTAAGTATCTTTTTTAGTATCATGTTTCGTAAACCTTATATATTAGATATATCTGTGATCAATCTGTAGTATAACATATACACTATATAATATAAAAAGCCAATCCATGCATTGATATACATTTGACATATATTAATATAGGCGGCTGAACGTGTACTTCCTTGTTTAGATGATAGTTCACAGGCCTATTTTTACATTACAGGACTTCCTCACAACTATTTTCTGAACATCCCACTCCTGTGGGGGTGGTTTGAAATTAATTTTGCAGTTTTATGGACAAGCACCAGCAATGGCATTCTCTTACCTGATTGTACATATAGCAGTTGTTGAACATAGTCTTGAAGTCTTCCATACAATCAGTAGCTTGCCAGTAATATCTGTTCTGAAGACGCTTCTTAATAGTGCCCAGATCCATAGGATTGGTGACAATTGTATAATAGTCCTGAAAGACAACAAAGACACTGGCTTAAGTACAAGTCTTTCTGCCTCACATGACACTGATCCAACAAAACAAACTATATTTGATGCAGCTAATTTTAGGTTCAAACACCAATAATTCATGACTGTATCACATCTGAGAGTCAGGCTGCGATTACAGTTGCAGTTGTGCTACTTACTGGGAGATGAAGCGCCACGGCATCAACCGGCTGCTGAAAAGGCCACGAATACTGATGGCTCCATAAAGCTTTGATCACCACCTTCTCCAGATACCGCAGCTGATTGGTCACACGTCCAGGCTTCTTGGAATTTATGACCTCCGGTGGAGGTGGATTTCCAACCACAGTGACTTTCACATCAGACATTGTGTGGTCCAAAGGTCATGAAGGAGGGAAACTGGGTGAAGTATGTTTTGCTGCAACTTAGAGCTCATCACACGTTTTCCTGAATGAGAAGTGAAGAGCAGTTTCCAGCGCTTCAGTCAAAATCTTAACTGAGTGACATTTTAAGAAAATAATACTACTTTACTACATCCATGATTAAACTTATTCTGCCTTGTGTGACTGTTCTAGAATTCAGATTCTTGCCACAAAATCTTAAGCACAACATACAGTGCCAACAAAAAGCCTTAAATGATCAGTCTGGAGCTATTCTACATTCTGATCAAATAAAAAGACCAAAACCAACAACTGACTGATGCTATCATTGTTGTCTGTGTAGCATCAAATATGAAATGATCTGCAGATGAAAATAGGCCATAACAAATGCACTCTTAACTCCTGTCAGACTAAAGACTTTAACTATTTTAGGAATTTACTGCTGTGGGCCCTTTACAGCTTTTTACTCTGAGTGAATTAGCTGAGTACCTACGACACCAGAACATTTTCTTGGTTTTGGTCTTTTAAAAAAATAAAAAAAACCCTCCTTCACCATTTAAACCAGGCATATGATGGGCTCTTCATTCATCTGGCTTGTCACCCGACTCACACCTTTCATTGAATGTAAAACTATGTTGACTGTACGTCATTTAGCAGCACAGGGAAAGATGTCATTTGATCCTATTCTGGTTAATATTAAATGATGTTTCACAGGTGATCAATAACCACAATCCCAACAAGGAATACCAAGGAAATAGATGATTGATTACAGTATGTTCAACACTTGTTGCCTGTTGTGACATTAAGGTTTACTGCTTTATTCTATAACATACAGCTAGAAAGACAATTGGGAGTGATTTCAAAACAAAAACAAAAAGCAGTTATGGAATGCAAAAAACAAAAAATGCATTGTACATCAACAGCCTTATTTCTTTTACTCTGAACAAATAATTTTGTTGTCAAAAAAGCCTCCATCATGTTTATAGTCGTAAATCATCCCAGTATAAAACCAACAAAATCACAGAAAATCACTGACCATGTATCTAAAATGCAAGTCAAACATCTATCAATGCTCTCAAGAGAAGAGCCTGCCATCAAGAGAGGCTCTTTCCTGCTACTCACAGGTAACACTGCCACCTACAGCATTGCCCAGAAACTGTGCAAAGTTTAGCTCAGCAAGCTGATAATACTTCCAATCAGCTTTAAGCATGTAAAAAGGTAAAGTACGAAAACAGCAACAGGTAAAATGTTACTCCCAACGACGCAACAGTATGTCCCCAAAACGCTGTGCTGCTCTTTGTATGTGTACACCATGCTTGATGCTGTATCCATGTAAGTTGGGTCATAATAGACTTCTTAAGTATGTGTTGTGTATAGTACTAGTTGCATGAGAAGCTATGCGACATCTTTAAAACAGTGGTATAATAAAAAGGAATTCCGGCCTTTTAAAAAAAATTCCATTTGTTGTACGCCAGAGTTTTAAAGCTGATGTAAAAGCCCAAACCACTGTTTTTATGAGCCCTTCTTAAGAGCAGCTAAACTATCTTTAAAGGCTAATTATCTAAAAGGCCAAGTCGGTAAAATCTTTAAAAGCGCAGCGATAAACTTAATAAACATTTGCATTGTAGACTGAGGTGACATTCTTCTGTCCAGCCATCCCAACCCAAATAATTTACATTCCAAGTTCTGTTTATCTTAGTTTTATTTTTTAAAAAGACGAAAAAAGAAAAACAGTACGTTTATACATGAACAGGTCCAGCGGAGTCCAGCACGTCTTATTTTTGTCCTTTTGTCAGCTGCGTGTCGGTACAAAAGTCTGGGGAATTTCAAGCAGCATACGACCCACGCTTCAGCAACAAATCGCCCCATACTTTATGTTTTGCAATGAAAAAGACTGAAATAGAATCATCAGGAATACTGTGGTCAAATAGAAAGCGTCCTCATCATTACATCAGTAACATCACAGATCTGGGTTTGGTACATGAGCCTTGTGGGTGACGCAAAAGCTACAGAAGGCGCAAGAGTGTGTGTGGCATCTGTCCTGAAGCCTATTCATTTACTTAAAGACAATGTGAAACCTAAATCTCTTCTATTGATTCAACATTCAAATCACAATAATATTGAGCTGACAAAACCTGGGGCCTGCTTCATAAATTCCACTATGAAAGAAAAATAGGGATTAAAGTCCAAGAGCTGACTTTGAATGCACTAATTAGTCAGAGCTAAGGCGCTTCCATAAAGGTCAATTTAAGTTCATGCAATTAAACTAATTCCATACAGGTTCAAGTGGTAAAGATAAATGCAAGTGCAGGCTTTTCTTCAGCAGCTCCAGAGGTCAACCTTGGAGCCAATCAATTTGCAACAGCGCTGGTACAGCCACAGAGCAGCAACTACCATGATAAACATATGAATAATACAAATATCTAATAACCAAAATAATAATTGGCCATGAAAAGGAGAGGTAAAAACTGTGAAGAAACTGCTGATTGATTAAATAGAAATAGAAATGAAGCTAAAATGTAATAGAATATATTGGGGGGGGGGGCTCAGCTCTTCAATAAGACATGAGCAGCCCTGAAAAAATATGATTGGTGAACTTTTGAGGGACACTGCTAAAATACTGACAGTGTGCTTTATCATTAAACATCAAGGGCATAAACAGGCTGTTATTGATGTATGACTGATCACTAATTCATTTTAATAAGAGGTACCAGCATGCATTTTGTTCCTGCCTTCACTATCAAAGTGTGATGTTGCCATATCAAGCAATATATATAAATTTATTGAACAGGTTTTCTAGATACGCAGCAGGCGACAGCGGCTACTTTTCGTGTGCTTTATTATTCATATTCCTATAATGAGAATAATTATGAATGAAATCAATTACTTTCTATCTGTGCAAAAGTGGAAGAAAGTGAGCTCCCACAAAATGGTATAGTCTGCACATTGATTACATTTTGGGTACAAAGCATTTAGTCAGTGCAAAAATCAAACCTGGAGATTAATAAAATATCTTACAAACACCTATATATGATGTGTGAGTTTGTGTGTTTGTGAGAGAGAGAGAGAGAGAGAGAGAGAGAGAGAGAGATTACTTTTTATACTGACTGTATGTTTTATGCCGAAGATGTAATCAGTGTACAGACTATACCTTGACTTTTACAGGTGCTCACTTTTTTCCACTTTTGCATGGTATAAAGTCTGTGTATGTATATAACTGGATATTTAGGTAAGCCTGCATCTTCTCATTTATCACTGTGATATTTATTATATTGAAGTTATATTTAATGCTTATTTTGTAAACTTCAGCTTTGGATTGATACTGGATCCATCCATCCATTATCTATACACTGCTTCATCCTCACTAGGGTCATGGGGGTGCTGGAGTCTATCCCAGCTGACTCAGGGTGAAGGCAGGGGACACCCTGGACAGGTCACCAGTCTATCACAGGGCTACACTTAGAGACAGACAACAAGCACACTCACATTCACACCTACGGACAATTTAGAATCACCAATTAACCTCAACATGTTTTTGGACTGTGGGAGGAAGCCGGAGAACCCAGAGAGAACCCACGCTGCACGGGGAGAACATGCAACCACCCTGATACTGGAATATAAAGTTAAATCAAATGTTAGCACACCAGAGAGTCAGTGATAAAATCTTGGCTTTCCTGTGGGGACAGTGTTGCAGGAACTCTGGTTGAGAAACAACTGGGCCTTATCCTGACAGTCTGTCTGCTCTGGACCTGGTTAACGTCCTAGTTTCCAGATTATCTGAGCTTGAACAACGTTGTATTTGCTTTATGGAACCAAAATAACCTGGAGTAAAACAGACTGAGGGAAATAAGCCAGACATATTTGCTAAACAGGCTTCATGGAACAGACACATGGTCTTATTTTTCTACACAAACCCAGTGACCTGAGATGACATTTCTAAACTAGGAGCTAGGATCAGCCATTACTGCAAACTCACTGTTGCTTGACATTGCCGGACTCGATTGTCCTGAACAGATTTAAGTCAAATTATGTCTCTGTCCTAGTATATATCCACGCCATATGGCTGCGTACCTCCATGTTACCGGCCTCATGTATGACTATTTTACAACTGTATGGCATATCACCAAAGTATCGGTCGTGATACCACTATGCTATATTTGAAGCTAATGATAACATCCATCCAAAGGTAACTAGCATGTAACTGTGAGTTCTCGTCGGATTAATTCCCACTGACGGCTTCACATTGGACGTTTAAACCGCGACGCATCACTGTGAGGAGCACGGATGGCTGCACGCTGCTTTGTTGACAGTCTGGCCAACATGTAAAGCCTCCAACACGCCCACCGGTTAGTTTGGCAGCTAGCTAACTTCCACGCTGCTGTGAGCACGAGTGAAAAATCAACGTACAAGACGGTGGAAAGGCTGGTTGTCAGTGTTTGGACTGGACACCGACCTTGCTCTAATATTAACATAAACGGTCGAAGCGGTACCGTTTGTAGCTAAGTAACAAGTCCAGAAATGCTGAATAACTTTAGCCGCCTGAACTTTAGCCAATTAGCGAACACGAAAAGCTTTTTATCTGCTAATTAGCTAAACTGCACTGCTGCAATAACGAGTTCATCTTATCCTTAAGCATGTATTTAATTGTACGTGTGTCAGAAGTAACAAGTCTCGCCATTCTTACTTAACATCTAGCATAGCTATCGTAGCTAGCGGCAACGTCTAGCTAGCTAGCGTCTTTCCAATTTAGCCACTGAGCTGCCTTTACTTCAGATCTCATCGCTAATTATCAGCTGGCGCAAATGCTTCACTGTCTGATAAAGTCATACCAGCTACCTTGATATGCTCCTGGCAAACAATTGGTTATATTTTTTGCCGTGCTAGCATTACCTTACGAGATATCACAGGCTCTTGCGTTCAACTCTTCGGTGGCAGACGTCTCTACGGCAACCACCTCAGATTTATACCCACTCTGCTGCACGCTCCAGAACTGATTGGTCTAAACACTGTTACCTGAACTCACCGTGTTTTAGTCTCAAACTATTTCTTCCTCACGACAAATACACACATCACAGTCTCCCTTCAGGTTTGTAGCTAACCGGAGGTTAAAGCTTTTAGGCAAAGATTTATCTTGAACCGACTCGACAAAATGGCACGGAATGATCCTGAAGCATTATTATCAGATGAACACAGACTGAGTGAGTGCAAAACCTCTTGCAAATAACAGCACTCGCCTGATTGTGCGCCTGCAAAAAAGCAGACTGTAGCGGCTAACAGGTAGTAGCCGTGTGGCTGCTAACGGAGCAGCAGGAAGGCAGAGCGGGAATCTGGGCGGAGCGGCGGTTTCAGGGACCGACCCACAGGCGGAAAACGTACTTTCAGAAAACTTTTAAAGCCACAAACCAACCGTTCGCCACCAGGATCGTGATCTGTATTCGCCCTCTGAACCGTCAAACCCCACAAGTGGGCTTTAAAGGCGTGTTGTCGTCAAAATCGCACAATTTATCAAAACCAAAAACTTTGAAAACAGAAAGGATCGTTAGATGTTTAGCTTTCCGACGGCCCGTGAATCACTCATCCTAAAACCGTTGTCATGTAAAAATCACTTCATTCTACAGTCGTCCTCAAATGTGTTCATACCCTCCCATTAAAGAAGGAAGAAAACAGCTGTCACTGAAATATGCTGATATTGAATAAAGTAATAATACATGTAAAAAAATAAAATAAAATAATGAAATGCTTTTGAATTGTGGTTCAACAGAAATATTTTTTAAAAACAACAACAACAAGCAAACAAGCATACTGGGACCCGTAAACTAATATTTAGTTGAACAACCCTTTGAGCCGATCACTGCAGTCAAGTGTTTTCTGTAACTCTCAGTCACACTTCTGCACCTGTTGACAGGTATTTTTGGCCCACTGTTCATCAGCAAAGTGCTCTAATTTGCCCAGGACAGTTGTTTTTTTGTTGTTGTTGTTTTTTTTTTTAATTATTCTTTTCAACCACAATTCAAAAGCAATGTCTTATTTCACAAAATTATAATTTAGCAAATTTTTATTTATTATTACTTTTTTCAGTTTCTAGTTATTTGAATTGCTATTGTCAATTTTGCCTTTTCTTTAATGGAAGGGTATGAATACATTTGAGGACGACTGTATATGTCACATTAACAATTCTACCAAAGAAATGGTGTAATTGTTCTTTCCAGATTTCAAAATAAAATAAAATAAATAAATAAATGCTGTATTTCTTTGTGGCTGGGTTAGGCTCCAGCCCCCCCGCGACCCTCGTGAGGATTAAGCGGTGTATAGATAATGGATGGATGGATGTATTTCTTTGTGCAACCATGGAGCTGTAAGTTACTGTGAGCAGCAGTGATGCTACAAAAAATCTGTGACTTTTCATTTGAACTGCAGGCTCTGTTTACAGGACAGGACATGAGTTTTTGCATTGTGAGTTCCCATTTTTTCAGTGTTGGTAACACATGTCGGCACTTGAAAAAATGTTGTAAATGTTTATTCAAGTTGTTTTCCATTTTTGTTACATAAGTTGTAGATTAAACATTCTTTATTCCCTCAGTTTTGTCTCCCTGGAAGCTAGAAACTTCTAACACAAGGTGTCACCAAAGCACAGTTTGGATTCAGCTGGAAAGGCTTCATTCATGCGGTGAGACTAAACTGGAGGCACACAACAACACCGGGAGTCACAGAATGGGTTAAATGTATGATTGAAACTGCTTTCTTTGAATTGTCCAATGTCTAGAATGAATAACAGAAAATTGAAATTTAAGCAGATCTGGGATAATCTCCTTTGATATATTAAGAGGTCACCGCTTTAGAAGAGTGGGAGAGGATCAAGGCCAGATGCAACAGGAGTGCATTTGCAAACCATTTTAAGTGCTGTAATGGATTTTCTCTGTGTCTGTTTGTTTGTTTTTGTACTATTCGGTTGTTTTCCCCCTCCTTTTTATTTCATTTTATTTGGAAAAGTTGATTTATAAAACAACACAAGACATTCATGAATCAAGCCCATGTGTGTAGAATGGTTTATTGAGGAAATCTTAATAAAAAATTGAAACAACAAAAAAATATTGCATTATTCAGCAGTTTGTAACACTTGAGCTTCAACTAAAATCACAGCTAAACCTAATTCATACACTTTAACCAATAAAAACATATTCAAACAAATGAGTTTTTATTAGAAGTCAAACAGATATATTTCATACAGTCTATATACTTTTCAGTGACAATAACACAAAATCTTTAAATGGGTATAAAATACGTGAGAACATTTTTCTGGTTGGTCAAACTATTTGGTTGTGTGTGGTTGGATGGAGGTTTGGTTAAATGAACCTGTGTGGGAACAAAAGCTGCTGAGAAATGGTTCCACAAAAAAGTACTGCTAGAAAAATACCAGATGTAACTGGTGACCACCCCTTGGCTGTGGTCTGCTGCACAGTCAGGTTCAAACCATGGACCTGAGGTTGTACTGGAACAACATTACTCACCATATTATGTAGACTCTTCAGACTCTGATTCTCTTCTAGATTCCTCATAGTTTGTGCTATTATTGTTGTTATTATTTGTGACTTTTCTTTGGGACTCCTGTGTTTTGTTTTGTTTTTTGCATCTTAGTAGAACTCCAACTCATGTTGTCCTGTCTTGTTTTATCTGCCTAAACTACAGGCATGAGGTGCTTTTCATAGCATGTGTGCTGTTCCAAGTACAATGTTGGATGATGGACTGGACTGTGCTGAAGTTGTCTGGGATGTGGATGCTCAACTTTTTCCATTATCATCATCATCATCATCATCATCATCATCATCATCATCATCATCATCAGCCCATTGATGGGCAACTATAATAAATGTACATAGGTAACTTGGAAATTATTACACTTTTCAAACAGCTTTTAAGCTTGTAATTGAAAGAAATATATTGAATACCTGAGTTTGCATGTTCTCCCTGTGCAGCGTGGGTTCTCTCCAGGTTCTCCGGCTTCCTCCCACACAGTCCAAAAACATGCTGAGGTTAACTGGTGATTCTAAAATTGTCCGTAGGTGTGAATGTGAGTGTGCTTGGTTGTCTGTCTTTTAAGTGTGGCCCTGCGATGGACTGGCGACCTGTCCAGGGTGTCCCCTGCCTTCACCCTAAGTTGGCTGGGATAGACTCCAGCCCCCCCGCGACCCTAGTGAGGATTAGGCGGTGTATAGATTATGGATGGATGGATGGATGGATGGACATTGAATACCTGCTTCAAAAGTCAGTTTTTGTCCACAAGATGGAGCCATGGGTCAAAGTGTGTGTAATGTTCCATTGCAGAGGCATGTTCTTGTAGTTTAGGTCTTTCATAGCTTGAACGGTTTTGCATTCTGAAGTATTTGCAGTTTCATTTAAATGAAGTTATAAAGAAACATGATGCTATTTGACTTCTAAAAAACATACATTAAAGTCATGTAGATTCTGTCATGAATGTTTTAGTCTGTTGTCGCCAAAGTCCAGCTGTATATTTTTGCACGTTAAAGGGAAATTTCACTGTAGCCTGAGGATTTGTCAAGATTTTTTTATTTATTTATTTATTTTTACATATATAATGTAATTTTGGCTTTTCATTTAAAATAAATGAGGACTTGTTGCTTTAATTTGTCACATTTCCAACTAATTTTTGTTGTAATTCTGTTTTCGATATGCAGATTTTCAACAAGAGCTTCTAATAGTAATAAAACTTCTAATTTTCCCTGGAGGACGACAGCAGAAAAAAACAATTCAAAGAGATGAGGTACATACAGGGATGCAACATGGCAGCTTTCCTCACTAGGAATAACAGGCCGAGAGTTCAGAAAGGGAAAGTACTGGATGACATGCTGGACTGTGATGTGCTCGTTGAGTTTTGGATCCGTCCATAAATACTGACACAGTGTGTGCTCCCCTGACAATGACAGGAAGCTTGTTCAGAAGGGAGGAGGTCATAAAGGAAAAGGCTCTGCCCCCTGATGTTTCAGAAGGGAAGAGTAACAACGGGTATTTGTGTTTGAATGAATAAATACAAGTTCCTCAAAACAAGTGGTGGAACGTTCATTGTTACCACATGTGGCTACTACTAATCGCTCATCAAGTGTTTCATGTTTTTGCGACTCTATTCTTTTATCTCACTGGTACTTTTTCTACTTTTTACTGCATTACATTGATTTAACAGCTGTAGTTGTTGGTACGATGTTGCATACAAAGCCCTTATTGATTAATACAGCAGTGATCCAACACTAATTGGGTTCATTTCTATCTTGCTGGTACTACTTTTGTACTTTAAGCTTTAAACAAGCCACAGATCCACAACTGTGAAGCCGAAGCGAACAACTTTGGCCTCAATGAATCAGAAACACTAAAACACAAGAAGTCTTTCTGTTGTGATCATCAGGCCAGAGTGAGATTTAGAAAACTCCAGAAGAAAACCGCATTTTTACCAATCAAAGCTGTAAATTAGAGGAAAAAACAGCCTCACAACAACGATTCAGTAAACACTGATGTAACTGAACCTCAATGGTAACCAGATTTCATGCAACAGAAATGAAAAAACAAGAATGAGTCTATTTTAATCACAGCAGTAGCAGTAGCTGCTACGCTTTGTAACGTCCTCTGGATGCTGGCAGGTTTTAAAAACAGACATGACCTGGTCTCGGTACAGGGTTGAATAAAGGATCACACTTCTTGATTCCCTGCTTCTGCTAGTTCTACTCCCTGTTTGGACATGTGTAAGTGTCTGAATTCTTCATTGACTACTAGAAACACTCAGGGCACGTTTCTATATCATCCATTAGAGGGCACCAGAATCCACATTTTTGTGTTTTCCAAGCAATTACAGACACTGTTTGTGGGTTGAATAAGGCGTACAGTCAGTTTATTCTATGGGTTGAACTACTTACTTTACATGCACAGACAGATAATGAGTTTGTGAGTATATTCTATGTGAATTAATATCAATAAAATCAAAATTAAATCAAGTTTATTGTCATGTTGCTGTACATACACAGTAGTACAGGCAAGATGAGAGAGCGTTTCTTCAGGATCCAATAACTTAAAGCAATTTAAATAAACAAGTGTTTGCATATCTGGATCAGCAGTTCAGCATTCTGACAGCTTGTGGGATGAAGCTGTTGATCTTTCTTCCTTTAATGCACCGGAAGCATTTGCCTGATGGTAACAGTTCAAACAGTTTATGGAGAGGGTGTGAGGAGTCCCTGACAATGTTCAGTGTCCTGCTCCTGCAGCAGCTCTGGAAAAGTTCTTGGACAGAGGTGAGGATAACTCTGATGACCCTCTCAGCTCCTCTAACTATCCTCTGCAGGGCTTTTCTGTCTGACATACTGCAGCTGGAGCAAAATGTTGAGATGCAACATGTCAGAACGCTCTCCACCACACCTCTGTAAAAAGTCCTGAGGATGCTGGCAGGATCTTATATGTGAATATGCTGTATGTAAGATGTGAGTGTATGTAGAAGTCAGGTGTGAACGGTGCTGATAAAAATCCATCTGGCTGTTTCTGGGGTCAGGTCAGGGCATCATCGGATAATCATTGGTAATAAAAAAAAACAATGAAAAAGCTAAAAAATAAAACTTATTTCTGTTCTTTTTTTTTCAAAATCAAAAATGGAAAAACAGTTTCAGGTGCCAGAATTAAAAGACGTTAAATCAATCTCACATGGTCCATTTTTGGTTCATGGTGATTCCTGTTTTCATTCGGAAACAGAAAACAGAAGTCATGTGGGTTTTCGGTTTTCTCATTTTAAACAAAAATTAAGTGGTCTGTTTGTTTTTGGTTTTCAAATAAAAATGATCAAAGGAATGGCCAAAAAAACCAAAATGAACCGTGTTTAATAGTTTTTTTGTTTTATTTCATTGTGACATCTGACTTGTTTTTTCCGCTTTTGGTTTGGAATCAAAGAACAGAAATCTATTATTGTTCATTTGTTTGTTTGTTTTGTGTTTGAATTACATGAGTCATGGATTATTGGATGACCCAGACCTTAATAGCTAATCTGAGTAAATATTACCAGTAACCTTTAACTACCTTTGCTTCCAGAGCTGACTTTCTTACAGCAAAAACTAAAATCCATCCATTTACTATACACCGGGGCTGGAATACATTTAAAAGACACAGAAAACATACTTAGTACATGAAGGAATCTGTTTTTAACTGTCTTTTTCCCAGGTCTGAGTGACTTGATGTTTGCCATGTGCTGTCGTGACAAGATGGGAAATCCAGTGAACTAACAGAAGATGTTTGGAGTGGTCAGATAGCATGTGGTTTAGTTTTAAAAATGAATTAAAAGGAAAGTCCACATTCAAATGGAAATCAGATGTTTTTCTGCAATGATTTAGGACACAAACCCCAGTTTTACAATAAAACTGCTGTACAACAATGAAAATCATCTCATCTTTCCTGCTACTGATAGGGATTGGAAATCAAAGTCAGAACATGTGAGACGCCGTCCTGGTCAGTTGTCAAAGTCACAATGCAGCGCCCAGATCCAGCTGGAGCGAAGCTTTAACACCGGCTTTGCTTTTTTTTGGTCGTCTTTATGTGATTGAGAATGTATAAGACAGCACTTCAATAACAGTCTCTGCCCAAATCAAATATTTAGACTGACACGAAGAAGGTGGAGCTGGACTACGGACAAAGCAAAGGGGATTTCTGCAGTGATGACGAGTTATTCTGCTCATTAAAAAAATATTACTGCAACCTGATTCAGACTGAAATAGGCAGGAGATGCAAAGGCCACTAAAACCTACACATGCACACTCATATCCAGTTCTTTATACTGTCCTGTTGTTGGCTTTATTAGGTGGACATTACCACACTGCAGCTGTAATCTGACGTTGATTCTGTTTTTATTCAGTCTACATTACTTTACACTGGATTAGTCCAATATTACAACCTCTCAATATGTTGAGTAGACTAGTTTTACAGTGTTGGAGCAGAGTTGTAGGTGAGCTGGTGCGCTTAAGCTGCAGGGACTTCATAGATCTGTGTATTCTTAAAGGAGGAAATGGTGTAAATTTACAGCTAAGAAATTCAAAGCTAAGCCACTTTTTGGTAGCCATTGGGCAAGAAAAAAACAATACAAACAAACAACAACAACAACAAAATGGCAAAGTGATGAAATAAATAAATAGCCATGTTAAAAAAATAAAACAGTCATTTTCCATAATTGCAGCATATTGTCAAGTCTGGCTTTTGAAGGACTATTGAAGGATATTTACAGGTGTGACACGATATATAGATATTGGTGAAGTTACACAACCAATGCTTCTTTATCTGTTGTTTATAGTATTAAACTTGACTTTAACTGTTTATTCTATTAAATAAAAAGAAAATGTTTGTAAAATTGCGATAGCTTTGCTAATTTATTGTTTCTAAAGTCAAATATGTTTCTTTCAGTAAACAGAAAGTGTATGGTTTTTCACAGTTACAGGTTATTTTACAGTAGGCAAAAATTCACAGTCTGTTTTGTAAATGTATTGATGTGTTACTAATGTAATTACAGATTCTCTTCCCTCTTGTATCACTCTGTAAGGAAACTTTGAACATATGGTTGTGTGGTAATTGTGAAAACCTTTTATGCTTCTTTCATTTCAAGGGATGAAACGAAGGAAGAAAGAATAAATTGTCGACTTTATGTGAAGCATGTTGTTCTTCCTGCATGTGAAAGATGCTGCAGTATGTAAATGAAATGATCCTTTATATATGAGCTGAAAATGCAGAATTAATGAATGGGTTTTTTTTTCCAGAGTAATATCAGCTTATAATGGATCTGTTTATATGATTGTATGCATGAATCTGTACACGACAGCAAAAACTGCAGAAATGAACACATTCAGACCTCAACTGTCTGAAAAGGTAGCATCTTCGTTGACTCTAATGCAATCCAACTAAACAGTGAGATCATTTGTTATTTCATGCAGTGACACTTGGCGGCATTTGCACTGAGAGTAGCAGGATATCTGTGACAAAGCTCGGTTGGACTTGACAGCCTGTGCAATCAACTGGATCAATACAGAGTCAAGGACCGGAGTTACATTAATGGAACGTGAAGACGCTTCAGATTGCTCGTTTCTTTGATGCACTGTTACGCTCTCTATTCCCCTTCATCTCAGCTGTATTCACAACCCTAACACAGTGTAAATAAACAAAGTGGAACACTTTAACGGAGACATGCATATGTATGAGATGTAAAATAATTTGATCCCTTTGAGCGTTTCCTTGTCAACTCTCAAAAGCAGCACATCAGTGTGTTTTTGTGTGTTTTCCACAACAAAAGTTTCCTTCCCTCTTGTCACAGGTGCCATCTCATTAGTGGCGAATCACTAAGCTGACATTTACGTTGTACCCAGTCACACTGCATCTCCTTTTCAGTGGAAGTCTGATATCACAGCAAAGCAGTTCGCCGTTTGTTTGGGAGAGAGATTTCACACGCGGAAATCGTTCCGCACACAGTTTAGTGCTTGTGATTGGGGTTGCGGGGTGCTGAAATGAAAGGATGTGACAAAAATGTCTTGTGAGAAGCTTAAAAAAAAAATGTTTTCACATTGGTGTATTCGAGGCAACCCTAAATTTAAACACAGAAATGAGTGAGATACTAAATACGAATCTGATATCTAGTAATATTTATAATGATGCTCATGTGATCCAAGTGAAAAGCTTTGAGTGTTTATATATCACATAGGAGGCTGCTGTTCTTATTATGGCGTATTAAATTCAATTATTTAGAACATTAAATTATACAATCTATAAGAGCATTGCGTGAAAACATGGCTTTCAGATAATTAGTTTTGCTTCATTTGCTGGAGATTTGTGCATTTTGAATCCACAGTGCTTCATGAATGCTGTTATAGTGTAACATGAAAGTCTGATTTTTCACTTGATAAAATACTTTCTTTGCTATCCTGTTGCACAGAATGCATTTAGAATATATAGGCCCTTTATTATTAGAAGTCACATCACACAAACCTCCTTTTCGCATTCCAGATACAGTCACATTAGCTAGATTAGAATCTCTAAGCCGTCTCTGTTTCAAACCGCTGGGATGGTTTTCTGACCTTATCTTCACCTTTGACCCTTATATGTTGGTGTGAGTTCTCCTGCTTGCCCTGAAATGGGAAAATTCTGTAAGAAAGACTGTCCATAAGCAAACAAAAAAAAATAATTCGATACAATCCACTTTGGCCCAGTGGTGGCAGTGGAACACAGAATTACTTTTTCACTGTGTGGAGTTTAGATGTTCTCCCTGTTTGGGTTTTGCAGGCTTCTCCAGCATCCTCCCTCAGTCCATGCATGGTAAGTTAATTTCTAAATTGCCTGTGAGTGTGAGCATGCATGGTTGTCTGTCTCTTTGTGTTAGCCCTGTGGCGGACTGTTGGCCTGTGCAGCCTGCCTCTAACTCGATGTCATCTTTAATAGGCCTCTTACAACCATCAACTGGCTAAAGTGTGTAGATGAGTGTAGCTGACACACAGATAAATGGATAAATTTGAGCAATTACTACCAATGCATTAATGGACAAGGATCATCTTAAGTGATTTATCCCGTTGATGTAGAGCTAATTTGTTTTGGAAGCATGTCATTGCAAAACAGCCTGTAAACAGAGCTGTTTAAAGACTCAAGTTGTTGAGCTTATTAACGTGTGATGTTTTTAATCATGAACACAGTTAGGGTTTGAGCATTTTCACCTTGAAACTGCAGAATCCAGATGACAGTCTTAAAAACAAGTATACAAAACATCTGGGATTCATACCTGACAAATGCAAGGAACAAATCCTGTCAGCTTGCTTGGTGAGGCTTTTTGTATCATTATTCTTCCTCACAGTTGATTTCCAGATAAAAACAAAATGGCTAAATTACTCCAATATTACAACTTGCCATTGTGTAGCATGGAAAGGTTTTGCAGTGTTTGAGCAGAGTTATAGGTGAGCTGGTGTGCTGCAGCTTCAGCAGCTGTGGGGAGGTGGTTGGAGACAGAAGCAGCACCTTCCTAAAGAGGCAACAGTGGAGCTTTACAGCTAAGTCATCTTAAAGCAGGAAGGGGTTATTTTCATTGAGACAAGGTTCTGAATATTTAACTGTGATACACAGACATGACTACTGAGGGGTTAAATCAACAACCAGTTGGGGACTTTTATAAATGCAGTAGTAGAGTAATATGTAAAAAAAAGCAAGTAGATAAGATGCAGCATTACACTGAAACATTCAAGTCAAGCAAAAGCCCCTCATATCCCTTTTTTGTTAAGTTATGTAACTCTGCATCCCCATTATTTTCAAAGTTTTTAGGCCCTCTACAGGAATTCAGTGGAATTGACTTGTCATTACTTGTTAACCTAATGTAAATATAGAACTTTTGTGAATTAAAATATATATACACACATTGTTCTATTAGAAAACCAAACCAAAATTATGCTTAAAATCATAGTATATAATCAAAATCGCTTTATTTTACATGTGTCGTTTAAAATAATTGATAAAGTGTTTTTTCCAGCCATATTCTGTAACAAAACAAAACAAAACCAATAACTCAGCCCTACTTGGCACAACTGTGAAGGGATTAATGAGTCAGCTGCAACAAACAGTCACCCGACAAAAATTCAGAGACTTTTCGGCTGAACTAGAGCCCGTTTCACAAGCAGGTTTAATGAAAACTCTGAGTCTGTTAACCCTGAAATGAGGGAGAGTTTTCCTCAGGCTGTGTTTACACCGAGCAGCACAAAACAAATACTTGATCAATAAAATTCAACTTTGCCTTTTCATGATTTATGACATAATAACCTTTATATACTGCACAGGAAACATCATAACTTCTCTCTACTTCTATCCATAGTTGGGCTGTTTGCACAGAGGTTCAGGACTTTAAACTGCAATAGAAAATGAGCACACAGTGAGTAAAGATGTGACTGGAGCAAATAATAATTAAAAAAAAAAACAAAAAAACAACAACAACCTAGAAATGACCAAGAGTTCAGAAGGTTAAGTTGAGAAAATGTTAAAACAAGGAAAGTCTAACAACCTGTCTAAGTAGTTGATTTAGTTTAATATATTAAGCTGACTGACCTTTGTGACTGACCTCTGCAAGGTGGCTCAGTGGTTAGCACTGTCGCCTCGCAGCTAGAAGATTCCCAGTTCACATCCAGGTTGAGACGCCTTTCTGCGTGGAGTTTGCATGTTCTCCCCGTGCAGCATGGGTTCTCTCCGGGTTCTCCGGCTTCCTCCCACACAGTCCAAAAACATGTTGAGGCTATTTGGTGATTCTAAATTGTCTGTAGGTGTGAATGTGAGTGTGCTTGGTTGTCTGTCTCTAAGTGTAGCCCTTTGATAGACTGGTCACCTGTCCAGGGTGTCCCCTGCCTTCGCCCTAAGTCGGCTGGGATAGACTCCAGCCCCCCCGCGACCCTAATGAAGATTAAGCGGTGTATAGAAAATGGATGGATGGATGGATAGACAACAGAGGATGTATTTCCTGTGGCAGCTGAAGAAATTCAGGCTGCCAACGAAGATGATGGTGCACTTTTACAGCTCCATCATTGAGTCCATCCTCACCTCCTCCTTCACCATCTGGTATGCTACAGCGGCGGCCAAGGACAAGACCAGACTGCAACGTATCAGCCGCTCTGCAGAGAAGGTGATTGACTGCAATCTGCCTTCTTTCCAGGACCTGCACACCCCCAGGACTCTAAGGTGTGCAAGTAAGATTGTGGCCGACCCCTCACACCCTGGACACAAACTCTTTCAAACACTCCCCTCTGGCTTCGGTCCATCAGGATGAGAACTACAAGAACAGTTTCTTTCCGTCTGCCACCAGCCTCAGGACCCCCACTAAGTCCTGCCCTTCCACCCCCATATCTGTATAAATGTAAATAACAATATATCAGCACCCTCAATACTTCTGTAAATAACATTACCATTACTATTTAAATTTAACTTTGATTCTTTGCACTATTACAGTTATTTTTATTTAATTTTTAGTTACTTCATTTTGCTTCTATTTATTATTTATTGTATATTTATTGTTGTTTTGTTGCACCAACCCACCAGAACACATTCCTCATATTGTGAGAACTACACCTGGTAATAAACCTGGTTCTGATTCTGATTCTGAATGGACCTTTGTGATTTTACATTTCAAACCTCACAAGATGTCATTAAAATATATTCAACTCAAGTTCAGTTAACTCATATTTTCAAGGCAGCAGAGGAACTTGCATCGAGTGCTGAATAATACATTTGCACACACTAGTAACAAGACTCTTGATTAGCCAGACATTGTCACAAAGGGCCCCCATGTAGATACACATCACCCCCATGTGATAAGCCTGACGTATAGCAGCCCTTCACAGTCACATTTCTTAAGTTTTGTGATTGCACACATGACATCGGAGCTATTTTAGTCAAAAAAAAAAAAAAGTATGTGTTAAGTGATCCAGAGTGGCTGCAGGACCGTGTTTTGGCTCCTGCGGCGGCTCCTGATGGGACCGCGAGCCCCACATTGAGCCGCTCTCAGCGCAGCCTCCTCCCTGCAGGCCCCGCCCCCCTCATGAAGCCCCAGTGAAAAGGCAGACAGATAGGCAGTAAACGGGCTAAAAACTCTGAGGCTGTGCGGCTGTTTATCCACGCTTTGGAGAAGAGAAAAAAAAACAACAACATCACCCGCTCTGTTGTTGTTGTGTCTAAAAACAAACAAACAAAGTGACGGTGTGAATGTTGAGCCGGGATCAGAGCGACTTTCCTCCGGAGCGACTTCAACTTCCACCAAGTTTACTTGGGGCATTTCTCTGAAGACTCTGCAGGGTACGTCCGCTCCATTTCAAGCACTTCTTAGCTGATCTCTAGCAGAATGTTAAAGACTCGGTGCGTCTGTGAAAACTGCAGAAACTCTCCGATGATGTTTTCTTTTAACCGCCCATAAATCCAGCTCAACATCTGTCTCATGAATCCGCTGACATGCAGCTCTTCTCCCTCTCGGAGCTACAGTTGCTGTTGCTTGCATCCAGAATGTGTGTTGTTTTTTTTTTTATATTGTTATTATTATTATAAAACAGTAGGAAAACATGAGGTAAACAGAGTGTGCGTCCAGTGAAGTTACAGAACAGCATGGCACGGTGTGTTTTCTCTCCTCCTGCGGTGAGAAACGTGACTGACAGCAACCACGGATGTGATATTATTCTGGATCAAACCTCTCTGTTGCATGCCTGTAAATAAAATAAAAGAGGAATCACTGTGGAGCTTCAGCCTTCAGAGTTAGTGAGACAGAAGATGAGGCTGTTTTTTTTTTTTTAGTGTAATGTCCCTTTAACTTGCATCTGAGCAGCAGTTTTTCTGTATTTATAGCATTCTGTCACACTTTAACGCTCCCTGCATGGATGCTACTGCAGCTAACTGTGTTGTGGAGAAATCTACTGTTGCTTGTGTGGTCTTTGAAATATGGAAAAAAAAAATGGTGCAGAATCATAATTTTTTCAAACCAAAGTTGACACAACTTGCGCGTTTTGCCCTGAAGTCCAAAGCTGTTTAACTTGGAGTGATTTAAAACAGAGAAAAGCAACAAATGTCAGTTGTTTTTATTCCTAAGAAAACAAGGAATCAGTCATCATTAGCTGACAGCAAGTTTTCAGCCCTAGTTTAGGAGACTGGAGATAAGGTGTGTTTTTGTAAATGCGTGCACTTTGAAGGACTTGTCAGGACCTTAAGTCGTATTAATGAGGGCTGAATAGTATTTGATTTAAAATATAATACAGTGCAATTAACAAACTGCAAAGGCGGTATTTCAGGAGGCTGTCTCATGTGGCAATGCTTGACATGTTTTAGCTCTGTTATACAGTGAACCAAACCGCAGCATCTGTCAGAAAAATGTACCCAAAGTCATTGTGCCCTCGTGCACATGTTGCCCAGGTATCAGGGTCCAAACTCGGTCCAGGATGTTTGCGTGCAGGTCCCACCTCTGTGTGTGGACAAGAGTCTGCAGCTCTAACAAGCATAATGACTTGTAATCAGAGCTGTGCTTGTGTGATGGAATGAGTAGGAAGTTTGGTGGTTTTGTCAGCGTGAGCACTGAAAGAGCACAAGAGCTCATTTAAGATCATTCACTGCCTTCAGTGACCACACGAGCACCAAGACGACTTACGAAACGAGCTGGTGTCAGATTAGCAAGTCTTAGCATCAGCCACCGCTGACAGACTCGGTTTCGGCCTTTTGTGCCACTGATCTCTTCCCGTGTGGCTTTGTGATCGCGCACATTCGCCCTCCGGTCCCAACAACACTTAACTGCGATGTATGCATAGGTGATGACACAGATATAAGCCAGGCCTTTAACGGTGAAGTGACCGCAAATATGCAGCTGGGTTTCAGCAGTGTGCGGTACGTTCAGTCTGGGGTCTGCACGCTCTGATGTACTTTCCAGATCTTCTTTGGGTGAAATAGTTGCTCGGCTTAGACGGTCAGGGTTGAAGAGAAGTCACATGAGGTGATTTGAGCTGTTGCTGCAACAAAACCAGCACCGTGGCTTGGAGTAAAACTTTTTACCTTCGACCCAAAACAACTTTTGAAACTTGTCCGTGTGAGTCTTGTAATAAAATGAGAACGAATTTCCATCAGCCTCTTTAACACTCCCCCTCCCGGTGCAAACTTTATTCGTATCCAAGAGGTGTCAGAGGAGTAAGACACTGTTTTGTTTCAGGCATGAAAATCCTTTGATTTGGTCTTTGCTTCCTAAAAGGTATTGCAACACAGTTTACCTTTGTTTAGTCAGTGCTGAGATGAAGGTCAAGGAGGCGCATAAATCAAACAGAGGCCACTGGCTCTGCTCAACTAGCTGAAAGTGTAATATTTGTCATGATCTTCCAAAATGACTCTTCAGCCTGTGCAGCTGCCACACAGTGAAAGGCCCTTTTGTCCTGTGCAAGCTGCTCGCATTGCAGAGCGATGCACCTTGGCGCTTTGTGCATCACTTCCCATGCACACTCTGTGGTTCACCACGAGTCGCATAGGTGCACGTGCACATCTGTTTCTTTCACATGGCACTGCAGTAGTCCGAGACGCCGCCTTTTAAACTGTGAACACATGCGATTCCTGTCACCACACGGCTCTGACATTTGAGGTGAGTTACTGTTACAGTTTTGTTGCCACGGTGAATCAGGTATTGCTCAGAGAGGCACTTTGGCCCGATTCTTTTTCTGCGAACCACATCGTTGTAGGAAAATGTTTTGGTTGTGGCTGCAGAACATGCCCAGTAACAACCTAGAATTAGCCAGAGCCGAAAGGACTCTCTAGAATAAGCCGGTTGCCAATTCAGTCCTTTAATCATCCGCTTTTCAACCTTTTGAAAATGTGAGTGCGGATTATTGGAAATGGAGACGCTTGCTTGCATTCGTAATAGGCTCTAACTGACTGATTATGCTGCTGCTTGTCAGAATAGCAAAACCATGTGTTCCTTATCTGCTCTGCTGCTATGAGGTTTTGCTCTGCTCCTCTCATACACATCTGCTTTGAAGGCAATAGCAATGGTGTATTTCTATTTTAAGTCTCTTTTCGTTGTTGTAAAACTTTGTAAAGCGTGGTGGCAAAAGTCAGTCAATCTATAGATATATATATGTTCAGAACTCTACATTTTCATGATGGTGTTGTTTTGATTGATAGCATCTTAAATATATTTTCTTTTTAGAGAGTCACAGTTATTTTTTTATCAAGTGACAACTCAAAACGAAGCACCACATTTTTGCAAAAAATATCTTAATTAACCACATAATAATAATAAATAGTGGATTTCTTAAAAAGAACTCTCAGATATCAATATTATTTGAATTTAGACAACTGGAACAACAGAAATATATACATGAATTGGTAAAATAGGTAATTTCCAATCCATCCTTTTGATTGATAAAGCACCCACTAATTTGCAAATAGCTGCAGATGAACTAATGGGGTCTGTTTTCTTACTCCTACGACTCTTCTAACATTCAGAATTGCATTCATTTCTGCTCCATTTTTATCTTCTACTTGAATGAAGTTGCTTTTAAAGTTTGAGTAGAAGAATTTGAATTCTTTGCATTTTTGTAGGAACAAATATTATAAACTACGATGATTTTGCAGCTGGTGTTAATCTGCTCCCTCTTTTCTTGAAAGATGTTTAGACATGTTTGTGGAAAGTGCATCTAAGCCTCTCAGTAGGTTTTTTTCCACAGCAGGTGCTGATTGACGTTTGAGGGACGTCGTTGCTTGTTGTGCTGCTGACCGGAGTTTGTCACAGCCTTACATGACTGCTGATAGAGTTTTGGCCCTTTTTGATTCATTAACATATCAGCCATCTGTCCTTTCACAACATTAAACATTTGGCCCACATGTTGGTTTTCTGTTGTAAAGTTAAACCCCAGTAGCTTCACTTTTTACTGATTGCGTTCATGCTGCTGAGTCATCTGTAGCTCTCACTTCGTCCCTCATTGTGTTTGTTGCACTACAGAGGAGGAGGGACTTTTTTTCTTTTGGTCTTATGTGTGATTCACAGTTTCAATCTTCTTCTTTTTTTTCCTTTTGACATAAAAATAGTTCTCTTTGTTTAAACTATACACCCTCTCCAGTAGCTAGTGTCGTAAGTGCAAAAGCATTAGCATTGTGGTTTATCATACTGTTAAAGCTGCAGCCTTTGTCTCAGGTGGGTTGTGCATCAGGTTTTGCAAAGCAGAGTCTTTAAAGTGTCTTTGACTGGCAAGACTCAATAAGTCACATCAAACACTGGTGATATGCTGAATATATTAGGTTCTCAGCAAAAAAAATTAAAATTTTTGTTTATTCATGTGATTTTTTTTCCAGATCTGTGTGAAGTGTGTAACATTTCAGACATCCTGAGTGTATAGTAGTAAATTATTTTATCAGCCCTGTCCTGGCGGCGAGTGTTTGGGGTTCGATTACCGAAGCTTCTGGCGAGGTCACGCTGATTAGCGTGGTGGTACTAAGCTGCTTACTCAAGACCCCACTGGAGAGTCGCAGTGTTTCCTGACTCTCTAAATTAAAGTGTGTTAATAACCTGTGGCATGTTCCAAAGTGTTTCACACCCGGCGAGCCAGTCAGCCGTCCCACACGCCTCACACGCTCTGACCGACTCGGGAAGGTGTGTGCAGCACGGTGCTTTGAAGCATGCATGACCCCCAATTAACCCTCCCAGATTAATCCCCCGGTCTCCACACTGCTGCTCCTCTTGTCTCATCTCATCACTCCCACAGCGTATATTAAGCAGAGCCCAGCTCCCCGCTGTTTGTCCAATGCTCCAATTCAACCTGTTTCTTCTTGGCTGACGTCTTCTGTTTTTGTTCACTTTGCAGCTGGAGCTTGAAGGTGACTTCCTGTAGACAGAGGGGGAAACCTTTGTGAGAAGCAGGAGAAAGTTGCCGTTTTCGCCCGCTCTCATCATACTGGAAGCTGCAGGATACTAAAATGGCGAGAAGATCCCACGTTCCCTTGCTACTTCTTGCAATATGTTGCCTTGCAGCTGCAGGTAAGTTTCTGCCACTACTTGCATGCATGTGAAACTAGCTGTTATCAGATGTACATGGCAGTTATTTGTTTACGTCTATGCAAAAAATGAAATTCGTCAGAGCCAAAGTGTCAGGAGTAAATTATATTTACGACGCACCGAGCCTTGCAGTGGTGCATTGTCAGACAATCACAATCTTGCCCATGGGATGCCTATGGGATTTTCCACTCTTTCTCCCAGCATGCCTTTCTAGACAGTGCTTGTCAGAGTCGTGACTAAGGGGGATTTACATTCAAGAAAGTGCTGACAAGTTCAATCTCAGAGTACAAACACTCAGCAGGCCTACATGTATCTGTCAGATTGGTTGGATACTGCCAAACATGCAGTAATTTACAGCCGTGCAACAGACAAAGCAAAGGGAGAGAAAATAACCAAGCAAACGGCTACAAAGATGAATATGGGAAACTTATGTGTGCCATCAGGGTGTCATATTAAATTCTGCAGGGTTGCGGATGACGTCACTTACTGCTATAACCCACCACATGAAGCTTAACTAATTAAAATATTGCGCCTCTCATACTGAGGAATGTGCGTGACCTTTTACACTCTGATGATTTTGAACAGATATGAGCAACAGTGTTCTCAGGTGCTCAGACTTGTATCTGGTAACTCTTAATCGACTTTGTCACAGTCTTTTCTAAGCAGTTGATTGCTCCTTATTTCTAGCTGTGGGAGTTATTGACTGACTGATGGGAATAATGTGGAATGTCCTCATAAAATTAACGTCCGTTTTGTTGCTACATATCTAACTGATAGGATTACATAGTGACTCAACCTGCTTTATTATAGCTGTTAAAACTACTCCTTAGAACGCTTGGCACAGGACTGTCAGATCTCCAGAAACTCTGCCACACACAGAATTTACACTCCGCAGCTCTTCGAGGCTGTTCTGAGGCACGTTGCTACTCGGGGCTGCACGCTAACATGACATCAGCATGCGAACATGTCCACAGTGACAGTACACATCCTAATTATTAGCTGGTGGAATTTATTTTAGCATTTTTTTACTGTGCTAGTATGCCAGTCTTTTTTGGTAACTAGCAATAAACACCAAATACACACGAGAGTGATGGGATTATTGCTATTGGATCTTGGATCCTGAGGTGTTCCCAGTTCTGGGTCGACTTCGGGGTTTCCTCCTAGCTGGGCATGCTTGGAATGCCTCCAAAAGAAGGCACCCAGGAGACATCCTTATCAAATGTTTGATACACCTCAGCTGGTTTCTTTTGACACAAAGAGGCAGCAACTCTACCCTGAGCTCCTCGCCCTCTCTCTAAGGCTGAGTCCAGCCACCTTACAGAGGAAACCCATTTCGGCCACTTGTATCCGCAATCTCATCCTTTCAGTCACTACCCAGAGCTTACAGGTGAGAGTTGAAACATAAATTGACTAGTAAATCGAGAGCTTTACCTTCCTTTTTAAAATGATGGTCCGGTACAACGCTTCCATTACTGCTCACGCTGCATGAGTCCATCAGTCCATCTCATGGTCCAACAAGATCCTGAGATGCTTAAACTGCCTGCTTGGGGCAGCAACTCCCCCCCAGTCCAGAGAAAGTAATCCACCAGTTTCCAGCAGAGGATCATGGCCTCAGAAGAAGAGGCGCTGACTCTCATCCTGGCTGCTTCACCCTCAGAGGCAAACCACCACAGTGCATGCTGAAGGTCACGGACTGATGAAGCCTACAGAACCATGTCGTCTGCAAAAAGAAGAAACGTGACTCTGAGGTTTTCTAAAGGCAAATTATACGGCTATTAAAAAAGTTCTGTGACAGACTTATCAAAGGTTCTACAAAGAGTCAGAGGATTAATAGAGTCATTAGGATGCATCCTTCTGGCCGTGCCGGATTCTGTACCAATTAGTTTAGCAGATGTGGAGGAACTGGGGCAAATTCATCCCTTTGTAGTGCTGCACAGTGAGTTTAACATCAATCTCAGTCACAACTTTGCCTTCCCCAATTAGATGAGCGTGATCAACTGTGTTATTGACATTTTAAATGCTCAGCTTATAGCAAACTTCGCTGCATATCAAATCAAGAGCTTTCTAATCTAACAGCCAGCCACCGGGGAGCCATCGAAATGTTTTGGCTTCACTGTTAGTGAGTAGTTGTGGTGTTGGCCACTAGATGTAATTAGAGGAACTGTCACTGCTGTAACTATCACACTGGCTTCAGGATTCTGCAGTGGTTAATGCTTGGTAATGACCAAAATATTCAGTTTAGTGACCTAAGCCCCTAAAGTTTGATGAAAATCTGTCAGGTTGGCTACAGTCTGACACAAACCACACTGAGAATCTGGTCTACATTCCTCTTTTCTATTCCTCAGATTGTAAGATGTCCTGTTTACCGAGACTGGTTTCACAATGTACGGCTCTGGACTTGAACTCTCTCCAGCTTTAGACTGCAACATCCCGTGTTGTGTTTCTGTGGCAGCACAGGAATAATTACCCAGTAGGAGGCATACTACATAACGAGCGCTCCAAATAAAAAATGTGGTTTTCATACTTTCAGTCTGATTGCCGCCATAGGTTATTATTTCAAAAGTTCTTCTCTATTCTCTGGAGGTTTGAACCGCACTCCAGAGAGCTGACTTTTACTCGAACAATAGCAGTGTAGTCAGTATGTGCTGTGGGTAGAGCAAACATAATTTCTTCCACAATGCCAGGATCTCCAACACAATGAAGTCCCGTATGAAGTTTTCCTCTAAATTCTTCCTCGTACGGTAAGCTGCATTGTTATACTGTGTCACAAGGGACAGATATTTACAGTTCGACAACCAAATGCCCTTTCCTCCAAAGTGCACTGGCAGTAAAATAGATCAGATAAGATTCAACTTTTTTGTCACTACACATGTACGAGTACAAGGAAACGAAATGCAGTTAGCATCTAACCGAGAGTGTGATAGTGCAGAGTATAAAGTGCAGATATATTGTTTAAAAAAAAAAAAGTGTATATATATATATACACTGAACAAATGAGCTGAGACTTCTTCTATATACACAAAAGGTCTATTTCACTCAAATATTGTTCACAAATCCATCTAAACTGTTTGTGAGCACTTCTCCTTTGCCGAGATAATCCATCCACCTCACAGGTGTGGCTTATCAAGATGCTGATTTGACAGCATGATTTTTGCTCAGGTGTACCTTAGGCTTAGGCTGCTCCTCCTTGTTCATCCATGGCTTCTGGTTTGGGTACGTGGTGATCTGTTTCTGGGTTGTAACACTGTCAGTTGTTGTTGTACAGAGGAGGTATAGGTGTTGATGTGTGTGTGCGAGCCACAGGTAGCCTGGGAGGCAAAAATACTCTGTGTTGAAACCTGTCCTGAAGTACAGAGTCAGTCCCTGCTGGCCACACTTTGATGGTCGTCAAAATATGATTTGCAGGCAAAGTTTCTGATCCAGTCAAGGAAAATACAACGCAATTAACACATTTTGGATAATTTTCAAGTGCATAAACATTATTCCATCTATTTCTGGCCCAATCAGCTATTTCTTGAGCTGTCAGTGGTAAGCAATCTCTTCTACTGTCTATTTCTATTATCCTGCAGCATCTGTGTAAACAGTCACATCTGCCTTTAAACTTGTCAGGAGAGCTCTTACGTAATGTTTAGATTAGTCTGCAATGAGTCTTCTCTCAGCGTAATGCAATCCAGGATCTGAGCCTCCCATAACTCTTTAAAGTCAGACTGAGAGCACCTTGACGTCCATATTTCAGCTCTCTGCTGCCTCACTCTGCTTTTTGCTGTTTATGATTTTTTTTTTCTCCCTGTATCATTACTACCATTTTGTGGTTGCCTCTTCCCAACTTGCCATAATGGTAATTTTGTGAAGGATATACTGTAGACATTTTGGGCTGACATTGGGTTTTACAGTGAAATAAAGCCTTGCAGGAGACATGCCAGATATTAATTTGAGGCACTTGCCAGAAACAGCTCCGGCAGGATACTGGTTACACTGCAGGCACAAGGCCGGGCTGCTGGTTCACTGAAAAACACACCAGCATTGTTGAGTGCAGGACTACTTTCTCCTCCTCTTATTGAGCTGTTTTCCACTGCAGGAACTTTCAGGAACCTTTATGTGTGTTGACTGAAGGAACTATCCCCGTAGACCTCCTTTCAGGGCTGTTTTGAAGAGAGATAGAAGTACTTCAGAGTACTTCTGAGCATCCCTGATAAAACTGCTGTGGTGGTCTCGACACTGATTGGTTAAACTCAAAGACAAATGCTGATTGGTTTAACCCTCTGAACCCTCCAACCCCCAGGGGATTTGAAAGGCATGTTGTCGTTACAGAATCGGTAGAAGTGCACCATTTATCAGAGCGAGAAGCTGTAAAAACCAGAAGATTTTTACTTTCTGATGGCCCTTGAACTGTTCATCTGTGATGTTATTTTGTTGTGAAAAATGTTTACAAATCAAAGCTTAAAATTGTGGTATTTCATCAAAATCACTTTATTCTAGATGTGTCATTTATAATTTGCCAAAATACTATAGTTACTTCAATGAGAGTCTGTCAAAAACTGAAAAAAAAAAAAAAAAAGCGTACTCCTTGCTGCAACCAGGACCGTAACTTAGCTGTGATGAAAACAAAGTTAGGAACTTTTTGACTGAACTGGGCTGAACTGCAGGCTGTGTGAACACAGAGTAGCTAGGAGACGTGTATGTAAACAGATTGAAAATGTCTACAGTATCTATTTTTTTTCCAGTATTGGTAACACGAGGGGGCACTTGGTACGATCTTGTTGATTCCATTTTTTTTTTTACATTTTTGCAAAATAAGAAATCAATGAAATTCAATGTTTTTCATCTTCTTTTTTTCTGATTTATGGCATATAGCTTTGTTCTACTGCACAGAAGGATTTTGTCTACTTCTAGTCATAGTTGTGCTGTTAGCACAGAAGTGCAAAACTTTATATTTCAGTGAAAAATGAGTCCACAGTGAGTAAAAATGCGATGGGAGGAAA